ACTGTGCAAGTCACTTGGGAAAACACTGGCACGAAACTCTCATTACCATGGTGTTATAAGTAATTACCACTAATTACTTATGGTGTTATAAGTTTTCCAAACATACTGGGTGTCTCAGTTTAAGGAGACTGAAAGTGTTTTGCTAAGGAGGGCGAGTTATGAGAGACTAAACTCCTCTCTCTCAGCAATTGTAAATCCAAAATTAAGAGGCTCCAATCAAGAAAGTATGGAAAAAAGGAAAATAACAACCCTTTATTAAAGGATATATATGTATTGGCAAAACCAGCAAAAGAACACTAAAACAACTAAACAATAATCCTGTACCCAAAAAGTCACCCGCAAAAAAAGGAAACAGTTTGATACTTCTCTGTCCTCTAGTGCGATTCTAATCCCGGTTGGCAGAGGGCGCTGTTGGATCACTGGAGGAGCAGAGCCTGCGGTTGCTCGGTGTTGGTCAGCAGGGGGGGCTGTTGGGCTCTGCTGGTTGCCGTGTGGGGGCCCCGGATCGCAGGAGAAGCCAAAAAATGAATAGTTTCCCACCCACCGAGGAGGGGAAGGGGAAAAGGGGAAAGAAGGGCGGTTTCTTTCCCACTAAACTCATGCTGTCTGCGGCTGGCTGTGGTCAGGACTCCCCTTTTTTTGTCAATGAGTACAAAACTCTCCAATGAAATCTGAGCAGATTTGAGCTGGAGACAGAGCAGTGCACAGGCAAGCCGAGGCTGGAGAGCAGCCGGATGACCAGGTCGAGAGCAAAACAGCCTCAGAGCTTTTTCCAACACACACACACACACACACCCCTTGCGGGAGGTGACTGAGTTGTGGACAGCTTGGGCCCTGAATTTGAGTGGTTGCAGCTGTGAGGTTGTAAAGGAATGTGAACACTGAAGTGAGAAGAAGATAAACAAAGAAGATGGAACTACTGAACCACAGAGGCAGCCGGACATCTGTAACAGTTCGTTTGGATACATGTCTGGAAAAAAAACAAGTACCAGAAACATTCTTTTATTACAGTGAGAATAGTAATAATAATAATAAAATTAGCAAAAAGAATCAAAAACTAAAAAAAGATACAAAATAACTACCTTACTGTGTGACCTTAAAAAACAAATGCTACGAACAGCATTTATAACACGATATTAACTAGTAAAAAGAGAGTTTAAAGGGATACCAAAAAGGGATCTTAACACAATATTATGGATAACTATTAACATGATATTGGTTAGTAAAAGGGGAAATTAAGGGAAAAATACTATGAACAACTTATTTATGTAAAAATATTCAATAGTAAAAGGGGAATTAAAGGGACACTAAAGGGATATTAAAAAAGTTTATTCTCTCGGTTGCTTCCTATCAATAAACTGTGCTTACACACACAGACAGGCCAGGGCTATCAGGATGTGCAGCAGTTGGTTGGTACCCATGCTCACTCCTCACACACACACACACACACCCAGCCCCAGACAGAGCTATTAGGCTGGAATGTAGTTCTGCCAGCCAGTTCCTTTGTGTAGGCAATCACCCAAAGCAGAAAACTGTCCTCCCCATTCAACATTCCTCCCCCACATACAGCAGGGGAAAGAAAATTCCCTTTGGTTTTTTAGAACAAGTAAACCCATGACACTGGGGAACAAATCCCCCAGTATATTTCCCCCATCTCTACACTGTCATCTCCTTTGAACACTAGGCTGGGCAGTGATTCTTACTGTCATTGGATCTCTGTGAACACAAACGGAGCTGTCCTTGGGGGCTGAATGACTGCAAGGGTCATAAGTTAACATAGCATTGAGGACTTGTGCTACACATCCCAGCAGCTGTGCCACAAGGAATTATGTTACTGGTAAGTTTCATTTAGCTGGCGCAGTGCTACAGACAGAGCCCATTCATCCTGGTTTTCAACCTACTAATTTTCTTCACATCGAAACCCCCTTTCCATACTTGTTGGGTTTAACAGCCTTTGCAACATCTTGCAAAGCAAAATGACACAAAAGAGCTGGTTAATATTCAAGGATCACTTCCATCAAGCTCAAGAGAGTTTCATCCTAGAAAGCAGGAAGTCAGGCAAAAATTCCAGGAGGCCTGCATGGATGGCTTCATAAGGAGCTTCTTGTTCAAACACAAAAAGGAAGCTTAGAGAGAGTGGATGCAAAGAATGATAACAGAAATGTTGTCTGGGCATGCAGGGATGAAGCTGGTAAAGCTAAAGCCCAAATGGAACTGAATCAGGCCAGTGGTGTCAGAGACAACCAGAAGGACTTCTTTAAGCATGTAGGTGACAAAAGGAAAACCAGGGAAAATGTGGGCCCATCACTCACCAAGAAGGGGAAGCTTGTTACACGGGACAGGAAAAAAGCAGAAATACTGAATGTCTTCTTTGCCTATGTCTTTCCTAGCTTTTCCCAACCTTCAGGGATCAGGACAACTGACTCTAGGAAACCCTATTCCAAAAGAGGACTTGGACTAGAGCACCTTAGTCTTTCCGTGATTATGTGCAGAGGGTGAGCAGTAGTCACCAGTAAAGCAGGGCCATACCCACAGTGCGGCATGTGCAAAAGCATGCAGAGCATAGTGGGGCTCCTCAGCAAGAAGCAATAGCAGTCGCCAACAAGACTCGAGCAGGTGTCCTCCTTTTCTTCTGTCCCCCCTGCCAGCTTTGCTTCTCCCATTCTCCGATCACAAGGCTGTACTCTCTGCCCTTGATCTGAGTGCAAATCAGTCTGGCAGATATCTTCAAGGCTGAAAGAGAAGCCAGGCCTGAAGGCCAAGCCAGAGCTCTCCTCTGCTCCCTTCAGCTCTGCTTGCAGCTGCATCCTCAGCCTGTCCCAGAGGCCAGACAAACATGTCCCCTTCCTCTGTGAAGGCTTGAAGCACAGTCATGTTAAGATCATGGCCTACAGGTGAGCTATTGCTACTAATCAGTTGCCAGACTCTTCCAGTGCTTTAGAGCCATCCTCTTTGTGTTCTGGGCAGAAGATAATAGTGGGTGAGCTTCCGGTAGCCATAAAACACAGGCAAATCCCTGATCCTGTGGGAAGTGGAGGGGTTTGTAGCCTGCAAAGAAAAAAGGAAATTTCTTCAGCCTGCGTGCGGTGCATTGTAGCGTCTCTCCCCTGAGAAAGCTGGTGCAGAACCTCTGGGCCTTCACTTTGTGTTGTCATTGGGACAAACTGGGACAAGATGTGTTTGAAAGCTTCTTCCTGCCTGCTGTGTGCTGCCCATTGGCTGCTGGAGCAGCAGAGCAGAAATTCACTGTTGGCATCTGGCAAAGCAGCAGGTGACAGCAGTTACGAGGGGGTGCAGGGGTGAGGTGTCTGCTCTTCAAGAGGGACAAGACAAAGGAGTTGGGGAATTGTCCCGGTGTGGTATATTAATATAATATAAAAGACACGACCCGGCAGCTAGTTGGCAAGCAATAAAATCTGTTTATTTAAAAGAAAAATGTCTCCCTATAAACCCTCTGATGGACATGTGACCACCTGACCAATGACAGCACAACACACACTGCTCATGTGCCCCAATATGCTGTCCAGGGACTTCAGTTCCCAGAATGCTTCCCTCCCTATTCTCAGACATGTCCCTACATCCTGGAATTCTGGCATGGCAGGCTTGGGGCACTCAGTGGGCATTTCTTGAGAGCTGTGGTGGCCCCCGCCTGCCCGGGCTGGGATCCCACTTCATCCTGAGCCTCATTTCATGGAAGTGTGTCCAGAGGCAGCCCGGCCACAGGCTGAAGCAAAAACCCAGAGCAGGCGATGCAGGAGCTGCTCCAGCGCCTACCACAGCCTCCGGCCCAGTGGGAGCAGCCCGGGCCCTGCCCCGGGGTGCCCTGAGGCGGGGCAGTGCCCACTCCCGCCAGCCGCCCTCACAAGGCCCAGGCCGCCTCCTTCCCACAAGGCCCAGCAGGGCCGCCCTCACTCCTGCCCCACCCTGCCATGTCCCGCTCGGCCTCACCCTGCACCGTGGCCTCTGCCACACCCCACGGTGACGTGCTGAGCGTTCCACCTGCCATTGTGACACCACAGGCACCAGTCGAGCACAGCTTCGTTGGTGCCCGGAGCCGGCGCTCAGAGCTGCTGTAGCCTCTCGAGGAGCAGTAGCACATCCCGCTGTGGGAGCATTTCGCGCCTGTATCGCCGTCTTGGTAGCTGCAGGCCACGAACGCTGCACAGGGCAACCTCGTCTGCCTTGTGCTTTATACCCCGTGCCCATCCTTCTTCTCATCCTCGTCCCTTTGTCACCCTCACCCTTAACCTCACCCTCGTCCCATTCCTCATCCCTACTTGGCGCCCGGCAGCCCCTCTGCAAGGGGGCTTCTTGCACTTCCTGCTGCTGGTAGCTCCAAGCAGGGCCATGCCGTGGCTTCTCAGCAAGAAGCGACGGCAGTCACCATCCAGCACCACCAGTGGGCAGCCCCGGGCTGCCACCAGCTCCACCAGTGCCTCCGAGCTCAGGGAGAACGGGCTGGGCAGGCTGCACCGCGCGGCCGCCCGCGGCGACCTGGCCTGGCTGAGGCGCTGGCGCTGGTATGTGAAGGTCGTCGGCATCGACAGGCGAGACCAGGAGATGCGGTGAGTTCTATGGGATGCTGATGGCACACCTTGGCTGCTCCTGAGCCAAGCTGCAGTAGTCCTCGGCAGCCCTCTGTTAAGGACAAGGCTTGAAAAGTGAGATTTGCCCTGTCAGCTGGGAGAGTGAACTCTTGACCTTTTCACTGCTTGTTGCTGCCGGCTGGGCTCCAGCGCTGTTGGAAACGCGTGTTGCCGACCTGCTGCTTTGCCGTAGTCTCTCTGCAGGGCTGTTCTGCAGCTGCTCCGCCCTCACCTCTTCTCTTCTGCCCTCTGGCTAATCAGCGCAGGATTGCAGCAGCAGCAGCAGCAGCAGCAGAGAGCAGCAAGGGGGAGGAGCAGAGTCCGGGCAGGGTCCCCAGGGTGCTGGGTAGAGACACGGCTTTGGCTCATCCTTTGTCTATCTAGGTTAAGAGTGTATGTTTAATTTTTAGGACACCTCTGCATCTCGCTTCGGCAAATGGCCATGCAGATGTCCTTAGATATCTGCTAAGAAAGAACAGCCAGCCGAATCTCGCTGACAACTTGAAGAGAACGGCACTGATGAAGGTGTGTGGAATGCCTTATGATCTTGTAGGTGGGGATTAGTGATGGTGTGTTAAAGGGGAGGTGTCTGGCAGGATTCCATGCATCGCTGAGCCATAGAAACATGCATATTGCAATTGGCGTGGCATAGGCCTCTGTTAGCTAATCTTTGAAGATGGTCTTCTATCCTAGCGTTCAGGAGCTGAGGAAGTTGTGACAGAGGGGGATGTAAAAGTTGGAAGTCTTTCCCTTTTTGTGTGTTGTTCCCAGGCAGTACAGCAGGAGCAGGAAGAATGTGTTGCTATTCTGCTGGAACACGGTGCCGACCCGAATCTGGCAGACGCTGGCGGCAACACTGCCCTTCACCTGGCTGTCCTGTCCAAAAATACAGCTGTAGCAGGGCTGTTACTCGAGCATAATGCCAGTAGTGATGCTCAGAACCAGGTAACCTTGGCACGTGGGTAAAGCTGCTCTTTCAAACAGCTGCAGAGTTTGTCTGTGTCTTTCTAATGGCGATTATTTGTCCTTTTAGATGGGATTTACTCCCTTAAAACTTGCAGCCCTCCTACAGCATGAGGAGATTCTGGAGTGCCTTCTGAAAAAAGCAGCGGACAGGCATGCTCAAGCCCAATTTGAAAGGTGAGGGGTTTGTCAAAACAGCACACGGGTCTTCTCGGTAGCCTGCAAGCAAGACCGAGATGAGGGGAGTGGCAATGAGCTTGGAAAAAGAAGGAGGAGTCACGTGGAAGCAGTTCCCTGTGTGACTGGTAAATGCAGGTCTGCACTTGGCTGCTCTCGTACCTTAGGGGCTCTTGTACCTTGCCCGCTGAGGTCTGCAAGAAAGCGTTGTCTGTGGTGCCCTCTCCCCACACAGACCCAGAGTCATCGGGAAACTTGCCAGTAGCTCAGCAGCATGGCTGCTCTGCAGGCAAGGGAGGTTTAAGCCAAGGCATAGTTGGTGCGTTAAGTGCTCTGAAGGGAAGCATTGGGAGAAAGAGAAGCAACAGTGTCTGAGGGAACACGAGGGGCTCCAACCACACATAAGGAGAAAACTTCCTGCCATGTAGATGGTCAGGCAGTCGAACGGCTTGCCCCAGGAGTTTGTGCAGCTGCATCTGTGGGGACTTTGAAGAGCAGTGCAAGGAGCCCTGAACAGCATGGCCTGACCTTGTAGTTGAGGCTGCTTTAGGGAGGCCCCTTCTAAGATAAATTCTCCAATGCTTCCATGTACTTGGCTTCGCTTTCACGGAGCTTGTAGGAAAGGGGGGAAGAGCTCTTTCGGGAACAAGCAGGGGAAAAATGATGCGGGATCAGACATGTTTCACATTAAATCTTGGATGCTTTAGGACTGCTTTTGTGGTTACTGGAACCCATGAGGCTCACCTGGAGGAAGATAATCTGTGCTTGCAGGAGGAGTTGGACAGGGCTGACACAGAGGTATGGAAAGCCTGTCCCTACAGGGATAAATAAACCTGGCGGTGCCTGTTGCTTCCTATACATCATGAAAACGGACAAAACAGTATTCTGGGAGCCAGTAGGACAGAGACCTAAGGAAGTGGCAGTTACATCAGGCTTTGATCTGCCTCTGTCCCTCCGGCCCCCTGCCTCACCACCTGCCATGCTGAGGCAGAGCTGCCTCTCCTTAGGGTTTCACCTGTGACCAGCCAGGGGGGCTGGGGTTCCTCTCTCTCTGCTACATTCAAGATTTTCCTGGTCTAAGAAGACTCCCCACACACCCCTGGCATGATTCTCGACTCCAGGGCAGGTCTGTGGAGCAGTTCACCTGGCTGCCTTTGCTGAAATGGTGGTCATTAGCTTGTCAGTGATGCCATCCTTCCTGGCCCCACCACACTGAAGCAGAGCCGCCTCTCCTCAGGCATCCACTGCTTCCTGCTTAGGGGCTGCTGGGCACCTCTCTCTGTGCTGCAGTCGGGGTCATTCCCACTTGAGAAAACTCCCCATGCTCCCCCTGTGCAATCCTGGGCTCCAGAGCACATGTGCCAGAGCACTTCACCTCTGACACTTGCGAGATGCCTTCCTTTAGGAAGATGAATTAGTTCACTCATCTTTTCCTGGAGCAGCAAGCAAGGGAATACAAGAAGCGTCACAGGTCACAAAAATGGTCCGAGGGGCAGTGTCAGTGCTTAGAACCGTGCTGTAGGAAAGCAGTGGAGGGGTGGGAGAGGCTGCTGTAAAAGAGGACAAAGGAATAGAGCTTGTGTTCATTGGGTAGTAGAAGTGAAGCTTTGAAGGTACTTGAATTGATTCCAGTTCTTTGGGCAGAGGGTATGCACACATACATGCAGCACCTGAGTTCTTCAGCAGCAGCTGGCTCCTCTATGTAGAAGCTCCCCTGACAACTGTGGATTCTTACCATGATTTTACAGCTGCAGGAGGAGGAAGAAAAGCATCTTCAGTCTGAGCATTGCGTTCGTGACTTGAAGACTGCCTTGGATGATAAAGAAAGAGAAGCAATAACTTCTTCCCCGAAACTGCAGGACCTCCTGTTGCCATCTTCCGAGACTAATACCACTCTAAAACAACTGGAAGAACACGTGCAACAGTAAGAGAGTAACCCAGTGAAGCGAGGTGTCTGTCGCTTTGGGGGATTGGGTGGAAACAACGGGACAGTCAGTTGGATTTTGAAGGACACTTCTGCTGTGGATTCTGTTACTTAGCACAGTTTGTCTGGAACTGGATTTTCTGGTAATAAGACCCGTATTTGTTTTTAAGCCTTGAAATTGAAAAGACCAGATTGGAAGCCACTGTCCAGCAACAAAGCAATAGGATTGAAGCCCTTCAGAGAGACCTGCAAGCCTCTGCCTCAGTAAGCTGGTCATAAATTTCCCTTTTTGTGACTCTTGAGCCTAGTTGCCTATTTCTGGGGGGAAACTGTAAGGTGAAGTTTTCCTGGAGAGCCTAGGGGAGCTCAGTTTCTGCCTTCTCCTCAGTAGAGGCTGCTCAGAAAGCAGCCTAGTCCTTTCCCCAGCTGCTACAAAAGCCCTGAGGGTATTTGCTGTGCTGGACACTAGAGCAATTCTTAGCTTATTAATTATGAGTTTCATCATGAGCTCCAAGGGACCCAGAAGTATTGCTCCCAGAAGTGTCTCACAAATTTTTAAGTAGTTGTGAAGTTTCTTCTTTCTGTCAGGGAATCTTTCAAGTGTTTTCTATGCTCGTTTCTGGCAGATGATAAATGCAGTTATGATGGCCACCCTCTTTAGAGGTTTTCCCAGAATTCACTGCCTTTAGATCACGCTGAGTTTCCTTTCCTTTTTTTTTTCTGTGTACAGGTTGGTGAACTTTCCCAGCAGCTGGACATGCAGCTAGAGGCCCAAAACCAGACTTTGCAAGAAGAGCTGTCCACTCTGCATGGGAAGTATGAAAAACTGGAGAAGAGCAAATGCCAGCTGCAAGAAGAAGTGACAAAAGTCCATCATCGTTTGGAGACTTTCGTGCTGGATGGCAGCCAAACAGCACAATGTAAAAGAGAGGTGGAAGAACGAGCTGACCACGAAATAAGTCAAAAGCCACAAGACGTCAGTCTCGTTCTGCAAGTAAGTGAATTTCTCACCAGTGTCCACAGGCACTACGTAAACTTCTGTTGTGGCCATCAGTTTTGGTCTTTTTCTTTTGCTCCTGTATTCTGTGTGTTAGCTTCTGCCTTTCCTGAAGGCAGTGGGAGAAGGCAATATGGTTGGGCAGAAGGGCTGTCACGGGTGTGTGATGTGCCGGCAGGTCCCTGAATCAAAAGCCTGCCCCAGGCAGATTCCCACTTTGCAGTGCTTGGGGGTATCTCTGTCCGCTGGCCTGGTTCTCACTGCTCATCCTTCAATGGGTTTTGCAACTGCCAGCTGTCATGGCCAGACCTACAGGTGCTGCTTTGTCCTTGTAGGGGGGGAAGGTGCTCAGAAAAGGAGTCACTGAAATTCCAGGGGTGGGGGTGAGGGGGTGGAGGTGGGGGATGCTCTTATTGTCTTTGAGGAATCCTTTTCGATATACCCTGTCCTACAGATACACTGTCTCTTCATTAGGAGCTTTGAACAAGAGTGCTGATTTGGGCTTCTTTCCCAATGAAAAGAATTATTTGCCGTGGTAGCTCCTAGCTTCTGCCTTGGTTGCTGCTGGTAGTGAGGAGGCACAGCTGCCTCTCTGAGTAAGGCAGGGCCCTTGAAACTGGATATGTGCAATTTTCTGCTGGAGAGAGTTCTCTTTTTCTTGTGGTGGTTGAAGGTGCACTGTCTCCTTCAGGCACAGGCAGCCTCCCAGGCTCGATTAGGACAAAACGGAGACAGTCATTGCGATTCAGTGAGAATCCAGTTAGAAGAAAGAATTAGAGATCTCGAAAGTGAACTGGACAGGGTAAAGAAAACCCAACAAGAGAGGGCCTCTCATAAAGAAGCAATGCGAGGAGAAATGGAAATGTACAAAGACCTGTATCTGGAGGAACTGAAAACTAGAAGATGCCTAGAGAAGAAACTGGAAAGGTAAGTCCATGCTTTTTTGGAGTGGTAATAAGAGACTCCGTTTTCTTCATGCATTTTCCTTCTAAATGCATTGTCTACATCTCAGCAGCATTATTGCCCTACATTGGCCAACAGGGTCTGATGTAGTTGCCAAGACACTCTCCTTGATATTTGAAAAGTCGTGGCAGTCGGGTGAAGTCCCAGGTGACGGGAAAAAGGGAAACCCACTGTACCCATCTTTGAAATGGGTAGGAAGGAGGGCCCTGGTAACTGCCAACCTGTCTGCCTCCCCTCTGTGCCTGGGAAGGTCATGGAAAAGACCTTCTAGAAGCTATGTCAAGGCACATGGATGACAGGGAGGTGATCTGAAGCACCAGCACAGGACTGATGTCCTGAGGGACATCAGTGAGACCCCACCAGGAGTGCTGCATCCAGCTCTGGGGTCCTCAGCAAAGCAAGGACCTCCACCTGTTGGAGTGAGTCCAGAGGAGGCCACCAAGGGGGTTAGAAAGATGGAGCACCTCTGCTATGAGGAAAGGCTGGGGCAATTGCAATACTTCAGCCTGGAAAAGAGAAGGCTTTGGGGTGACCTAATTGTGGCCTTTCAGTACATGAAGGGAACCTACCACAAGGATGAAAAGAGTGCATTTAAAAGAGCATGTAGTGAGAGGACAAGAGGGGGGGGAATGTCTTCAAACGGAAAGACAGTAGGTTTAGGTTTGATACTAGGAAGAAATTGGTTGCTGTGAGGGTGATGAGGAACTGCAACAGGTTGCCCAGAGAAGCTGTGGATGCCCCATCCCTGGAAGTGTTCAAGGCCAGGTTGGATGGAGCTCTGAACAACCTGGTCTCGTGGAAGGTGTCCCAGCCCACAGCAGGAGGCTTGGAACGAGATGATCTTTAAGGTCCCTGCCAAGCCAAGCCATTCTGTGCTTCTCTGATGTCTGTGCTGCTTATGTGAGACGGTGGGGAAAAGGCTGGTTCTTCCTGTGTTTCATGGTTTTCTTAACTAATTTGCTGTGCAGGTTGGAAAAGCTTCTGAGGGTAGATAGGAGGAAACTCAGGGCTAATGAAGAAACCCAGTCCCAGCTGGAAGAAATGAAGAACAGATATTCTGAAAAGGTCAAGGAAGTGGACAGATTACGAACAGAGGTGAGCTGAGCTTTGGGTGGGGTTTTTTGATTGTGATGTTACTTCTTTTGAAACCTGGGAGATGCTTTCCATATATTTCTTGTCATGTTGATGATTTTTTTTTCCTTGGCTGCATTTTGGATGTGATGGGCTTTTCTTAATGCTCCTTCTGCTGTTACAGTAGTAGATGACTATAATACGGAGGTAGTTATCATTATGGGTAAAGATGCAACTGTAAGGGCAAAGCAGTAGGTGTAAGGGCTCATGGAGGCCAGGCTGTCTTGCAGAGGAAGGGCAAGCCAAGAGTGGCAGCCAGCCTGGCAGGGTGCATGACCTCAGCGGCCAGGGAGCCCTCCCACAGGCCCTCAGCAAGAAGAGCAGAACAGGTCTGCTGACAGTAAGCGGGGTCAGCCAAGAGTGCAGATCCCCTGGCTGGGCCTTAGGGATGGGCAGGTCTGCCATCCTTGCAGGACATCACGTCCATGGGCTGAGAGCAGTGGGGCCCAGCTCAGGCCTGGCTGTAGCTTGAGGGAGGCTGTGACAGCGTCATCTGGGTCTGACAGATGAATTCCTGCCCTGGAAGAGAGGGGAGGAACACCGCTGTCACTCGCAGGGCACAATCAGCCCCTGAGCCCTGTCTCAGGCGTGAGCTGAGCAGGAGGCACTTGACATTTTGCTTTTCTCAACAGTGTTGTTGCTGCCCAGGGCACAATGAGGACAGGTGCCTCCCAGGGGAAAATCTGTAACTTATTGCTCACGGGTAGCTCTTTCAGCCCCTCTTGTCACAGGGACTCAGAAGGACGGTTCCCAGCAGTGGTTTTGAGGCTGCTCTGCCTGTGCAGTAGTGGCATGGAACCTTTGATTTCCTTCTCCGCTCCTTACTCAGATTCGTTGCTAAAGTGGCCATCTTTCACAGCTACACTTGGGTTTGGAAGGCATCACTGTAGAATCACTTACTGCCTTTGCAGTGATTCCTTTGGAGTCCGGAAACTTGTAGCATTTTTGCATGAGGAACTCCAAAAGGATGGGAACCTGAGGAATGCTGAGACAAATGAGGTGAAAGCTCTTCTGGTTGGAAAAGAAGAGCCTGGTTGCACTTTGTTTCTAGTCCCGAGCCAGCAGATGATGAAGATAGTCTCCCTGGCCACCCCCTTTTGGGGTTTCCACAGAATTCACTGCCTTTACATCACGCTGAGTTCCTGTTTTCTTCTTTCTGTCTGCAGGTTGCTGAACTTTCCCAGCAGCTGGACAGGGAAAGTAAAAAGTGCACGCAGCTGGAAGCCAAAAATCAGGATTTGCAAGGAGAGCTGTCTACCCTGCGAGGGAAGTGCGAAAACCTGGAGATGGACAAATGCCAGCTGCAAGAAGAGCTGGCAAAAGTCCAGCACCATTTGGAGACTAACATGGTGGATCGCACCCAACTAGAACAATGTAAAAGAGAGGTGGAAGAACGAGCGGACCACGAAATAAGACAAAAACTCCGAGAAGTCAATGAGTTTTTGCAAGTAAGTGAATTTCTCACCAGTGTCCACAGGCGCTACGTAAACTTCTGTTGTGGCCATCGGTTTTGGTCTTTTTCTTTTGCTCCTGTATTCTGTGTGTTAGCTTCTGCCTTTCCTGAAGGCAGTGGGAGAAGGCAATATGGTAGGGCAGGAGGGCTGTCACGGGTGTGTGATGTGCCAGCAGGTCCCTGAATCAAAAGCCTGCCCCAGGCAGATTCCCACTTTGCAGTGCTTGGGGGTATCTCTGTCCGCTGGCCTGGTTCTCGCTGCTCACCTTCAATGGGTTTTGCAACTGCCAGCTGTCATGGCCAGACCTACAGGTGCTGCTGTGTCCTTGTAGGGGAGGAAGGTGCTCAAAAAAGGAGTCACTGAAGTTGTGGAGGTGGGAGATCCTCCTGTTGTCTTTGAGGAATCCTTTTCCATATACCCTGTCCTACAGAGAGGGTGTCCTTTCATTAGTAGCTTTGTATAATAGTAGCTCCAGGGTTCTGCTTTCATTGCTGCTGGTAGTGAGGAGGCACAGCTGCCTCTCTTAGTAAAGCCTTGAAATTGGGTACATGCAATTTTCTGCTGGAGAGAGTTCTCTTTTTCTTGTGGTGATTGAAGGTGCACTGTCTCCTTCAGGCACAGGCAGCCTCCCAGGACAGATTAGAACAAATCAGAAGCAGTCATTTAGACTCACTGAAAAAACAGTTAGAAGACAGAATTAGAGATCTTGAACGTGCACAGAGAAGGATAAAAAGCGACCAACCAGAAAGACCTTTTCAAAAAGAATCCACCCAGGCAGAAGTGGAAATGTACAAAGAGCTCTATCTGGTGGAAGCAAAAACCAGAGAAAGCCTAGCCAAGAAACTGGAAAGGTAAGTCCATGCTTTTCTGGACTGATAATAACACACTCCTTTTTCCTCGTGCATTTTCCTTCTAAAATCCCTTTTTTACGTCTCGCCAGCATGATGTGTGAAAGCAGAACAGGGCATATTTGTGGGGAAAGTCCTTTAAGACCCTTCCCTTCATCAGACCTGTCTTCCTTTCTCTTTAAGAGTTCCAGCAGTAACACCACAGTAGCGCCATTATGGCATTATTGGTGTCTTTTTCAAGTTGATGTTGTTCTAGAAGGCAGTCTTTTTGCCAATCGCTAATCTCCTCATCCTGTATGGGACAGAAAAGATGAATCTTGTGCCCTTTACTGTTTGAATAAGGAGAGGCCTCTCGGAGAACAGAGTTGGATTCTGTGCATCAAAAATAAGAACGCTCTTTCTTGGCTTCTGTTTTGGCAGCGGGTCTGAGGTTTGAGCTTTCCTTGAGAAGGCCAGGGTAGGCCAGAGTTCTTATGGAGGTGACACTTGCTGCTCCTTGCACTTAGTGTGATTTCTTAGAAACAGGCCCTCTGAACAAGCTCAGATCAAAGGATGTGCTTGTTTTGGACACTCTTAATACCCCTGGCTTTCAGAAGTCGAGTAGTAGTCAAGGACGTGGAGGGTAACTTTGCAAAAGCCTTACTGCCAAAGATGACTCTCTGTGTGCTTCTGAATGTTTCAGAGCTGATGAGAGACTTGCAGAGGCCGAAATCAACCTCTTTTTGGAGCGCCATAGAAGCAAATCTGCAGTCACAAGCAGCGCTGTCAGCATACATCTGGCTGCAAGTCCACTTCTGGATTCAGCTGGCCTGGGATGTCTTGGCAACAGTTTGGGACTGAACAGAAGTCTGGGTTTCAGAACACCACCCAGACATCTGTGGTAAAGCTGAAGATTTTAGGACATCAGGTTTGTACAAATTTTCCAGAGTGGTCAAAGGCCAAAAAATATTGAAATCGAAGCAATGAACTGTGTAACTACCTTCTTTTACAAGACAAACTGTGGTAAAGAGCACTGTGGGGCACGAACCACGCACCTAAGTTCTACACTAAATTTACATGTATGGTATGTGTGACCTATTTCAAGTGGCTGATGTCACCATGAGTGCCAAATGCCACCAGACATCTGTGAGACCCCATTTTCTTCATCATTGATCTTTGTTCTAGCAGTTTCTTCACTGGACCTTGCTTTAATATGTTACTATGGACAGGAGGCATTTGTTCCTGTAGTTCCTGCTACATCTTACTACATGAAACAGCAGAACTCCCTACTCCTTGGGAAGTCTTCACGGCCTTCTAATTGTGCAGCAATGCTGCAACCTCTGCAATAGCACTGGTCCAAGTATGCCCTGTAATCAGCAGTCAGTGTGATAGCACATCCCTTCCAGAGTGCAGAGCATTATACCAGGAGACGTGGAAACCACACACCAGTAGTTGTCATCAGTGGGACAGCCACGTAGCATGGGACTGAGGCATGGCCAAGCTTCTCTGTTGAGTTAGTGTGTTTAGTTGTTGGATGAATGTGAGAAGCATTTGTTCACTTTGAAGTCCATCTCAGTTCACTGGTCCCCTCATCTTCATTGGAAAGAACCCGTTTCAACAAGGTGTCTACATACAGCACCTGGTTGAAGACAAAAACACCAAGGAGATGAAAAGGGGCCAAGCAGTGTAGGTAATGCATAGCAGCGGCAGTTACAGACGGGAACTTTTCTGTACCGCTGTGAACACATTTTTGAGGGCAGAGGCATGGACAGGCATTACGGAAAGAACTCGTGAGGTAATTAGTGCTGTACCATCTGCAGGGACTATTCTGCAGGAAGCACTAGAAAGGAAGCAAACTCCAGGGACCCAATGCAAAAGGGAGTAAAGGAGAAGACCAGGAGGGGCAGGGAGCACGGAACAAGTGAGGGAAAGAAAGGACAGAGAGATGGCAGCAAGATGTTAAAAGAAGGAAAAGGCAGAGGAGGAAACCATTCCTGTTTGAGGAAAAAAGCTGCCCTAGTTGAAAAGAAAAGAGTTGACAGCTGTGTCTTTTTTGAAAAAGAACAGGGAAAACAGATAGTGAAGGGAAGGACAGTGGGAGTACCCAGTGCTTCCTAAAATTGAATTGTGCAGCAACAGTCTTCCATTGTGATTTTCCAGAAGAAAACTCTGGGCATCTCAAAGTTTTGTCAGTATCAAGACAGAAACCTTCACTGCTTTCCTAGCTTCCCTCAAGGATGTTACAGAAATTAAATATTTCTACAGGTTATTTCATGGCTCATTGTTTTATCCAGTTGCTAATTTATGCAGATGTGTAGTTCAAATCGCTATATAGGCTGCTTCAACGCTTTGCAACAACTGCTTCCCAGATCTACTTGTGGAAAACAGTTGAGTTGATTCCAAGAAAAGAATGCACGTGATCTGAGAATGGTGATACTGTTCTCACTCAGCGTCCTGACTGCAACAGCACCCATACATTTTGAGGCCACATGTGTCTCACAGCCTTGAGCGTACTCTCAAGGAAGTTGATGTACAACTACGTATGACATTTCCCCACCCTTCAATGACTGATGTCTGGAGGGGTTTTGTTTCTTAGTTTGGGGGCTTGCTTTGATCCCAACATTTCTCCTTCCTATTGCATTTTTGTTGGTAGGACTTAGTCCCCTGAAGTTCTCTCTGACCTTGACTGCAACCTCTGGAGACTTTTAGTTTGTTGTCAACAGAGGAGCTGAGGATAGTTCACTCTCACTATACACAGTTTGTCTTCTCAGGATTTGCTTCAAACTCTACTACCATATCAAGTTCTAAAGTTTTTTTCCTCGAAGGGGTGTGTGTAAAACAATGGCTTAATCCACTGAAATCTTACCTCTTAACTCTGTAAATACTACGTCTTAACTGTGTATTTTCTGTATAATTCTAGGCACGACAGGAACGGGATGCAAAAATCGCTAGAGACCTTCAACGAGGTAATGTGTCATTATGTTAGGAGGGTTTTTAAGGAAAAAGGTGAATATTTCTAGCTCTTGACAGCTCTCGAGCCATTTTTATCAAGTTCCTGTGATAAGTAGGTTTTTGGGGTTTTTTTTCTGCTAGCCTTCCAGTTGAGACTTGAATGTGAAAACTTCCTGCTTACCAAAATGTTGCGTACAATGTTATGCACTTGCCTGGAAAAAACCAAGCGCAAAGAAACCCTTGGCTTAAGCTGAAGTTGCCCTTCACTGGAGTTCATCTCAAGCACAAACAGCAAAGCAGCCAAGAGATAAGTATAAGCTTCAGCCATCACTTCCCCTCCCATGTACACCGATGGCATTCAGCACTAAACCCCACCATACCCGTTCTTTGCTGTTGGTTCCTGATTTTTGCTATGATTCTATGATTCATGGCTTGTCTTGGTAGCTTAGGTGGTGCAGTCTTTTTTGGAATAAGCAAGAAGATCAGTGACAAAAGATAATCTGTCTTTAGGAAAAGATTATTCAGTATTTTTTTGGCAAATATCAGTTCAGTGCTTGCCGTACGTAGCATAAAACATGCTGTAGAATTTGAGGCCAGGTGTCCAAAGAGGAAATGCACCTGTTCCATGGGAATTCCTTCCTCCAGAGTTACTGCTTTGCAGTGCCTGGTGCTCTGTAGTAGTAGTAGTGTGCCAATAAATCACTGGTTTGGACATAAAAGGACAGCAGAGACTTCAGGTTGAAGAGGTCTACAGGGGGCTGTTTAGCACAGGAATCGTTTGTGGATTGCCTGAAGATGTTCAGTGTGTAGCCCCCGGAATGTCTTCCACTTGCTTTAGAAATGCTGTTGACGGATAAGCAACTGTGGAAAAATGGGTTTCTTCCTTTGCACCTAGCCCTTCTGTTGTTATGTTCCCTTGGAAATTTTAAAGTCTCTGCCTGGATTGCAGTCTCTTGTGTTGCCTGTCATGTCCTTGCCTTATTTTGCCCTGTCTGCTGTAAAAGTAACACCAGGAATCTTGTCAATTTTCCCCCAGCCACTGCTAAACCTACAAGTGGATCTGCTGGATCTTCAAAAAATCTTCATGTGGACCACGGACGCGGTCCCTGTGGGAATAACAGGTTTGCCACTCTTGGGATGAGGGTGTAAAAAATGGCTCCTTTAGGGAGGTGGGTTAGGGCTTATATAAGGTAGGGGTAGAATTTGCTAGAAGAAAGGGAGGGACTAGGGCGGAGCATGCAAAGTGTAACTATATAAGGGAAAAAGGGGGTAGGGTTTATCCATTTTAGGGAAAGGGTGGCCATAAAAGGAAATACTGCAATGCAGCAAACTTTGGCCAATCAGGGAGTGGGGCCTAAGGATACAGCAATCAAGGGCATTTTCATACAACAATTTCAGGGTACAAACAAGGGAAAAACTACAATAAATATTTAGACACAACTGTAAAACTCGAAACGCATTGGGTCTGAACTTCTTGACAATTTCATACAGGGGTTTCATCCTCTGGAGGGTCACACATTTCTTCTTGTTTTCTCCAGCTTTCATATGCAGCAATGTCCTCACTCCCGACAGACCAGGATCCCCTTTCCAGAGTAATGGAGGAGCACCGTGATTCTTTAATCAAAAGTTACCGGATTTGAATGAAATGCTATAGAGAGGCTCTGGAAATCATTCAGTGTTCACAGTGAGTCTGTGGTTTCCCATCCCCCACTTCAGATGTGAAAACATGTTCCTTGCAGTCGGAATGTAAACTCATAAACTCTATTAAATGGATGTCAAGCACATTGCACTTACCTGTTGGTTAACTGATGCATAGCTGGTGTCTTGGTTTCTTATGTACTCACAATAAGAACCACATCCATTTTTTCTGCCTAGCAGATTGACTGATCTTGATTCTTGAGCATGAAAGAGCTCAAGTCCTTGGAGCCATCATTGTGATTCAGCAGAAAACAGAAGAAAGAAGCAGAGATCTCGAAAGTCAATTGGACAGGATAAAAAACACCCAGCAAGACAGACCTCTTCAAAAAGAATCCACCCAGGCGGAAGTGGAAAAGTACAAAGAGCTCTGTCTGGTGGAAGCGAAAACCAGAAAAAGCCTAGCCAAGAAACTGGAAAGGTAAGTCCATGCTTTTCTGGACTGGTAATAACACACTCCTTTTTCCTCATGCATTTTCCTTCTAAAATCCCTTTTTTACATCTCGCCAACATGATGTGTGAAAGCAGAACAGGGCATATTTGTGGGGAAAGTCCCTTAAGACCCTTCCCTTCATCAGACCTGTCTTCCTTTCTCTTTAAGAGTTCCAGCAGTAACACCACAGTAGTGCCATTATGGCATTATTGGTGTCTTTTTAAGTGGATGTTGTTCTAGCAGGCAGTCTTTTTGCCAGTCTCTAATCTCCTCATCCTGTGTGGGACAGAAAAGATGAATCTTGTGCCCTTTACTGTTTGAATAAGGAGAGGCCTCTCGGAGAACAGAGTTGGATTCTGTGCATCAAAAATAAGAACGCTCTTTCTTGGCTTCTGTTTTGGCAGCAGGTCTGAGGTTTGAGCTTTCCTTGAGAAGGCCAGGATAGGCCAGAGTTCTTATGGAGGTGACGCTGCTCCTTGCACTTAGTGTGATTTCTTAGAAACAGGCCCTCTGAACAAGCTCAGATCAAAGGATGTGCTTGTTTTGGACTCTCTTAATGCCCCTGGCTTTTAGAAGTCGAGTAGTAGTCAAGGACATGGAGGGTAACTTTGCAAAAGCCTTACTGCCAAAGATGACTCTCTGTGTGCTTCTAAATGTTTCAGAGCTGATGAGAGACTTGCAGAGGCTGAGACCAAGCTCCTTTGGGAGCGCCATAGAAGCAAATCTGCAGTCACAAGCAGCGCTGTCAGCGGACATCTGGCTGCAAGTCCACTTCTGGATCCAGCTGGCCTGGGATATCTTGGCAACAGTTTGGGACTGAACAGAAGTCTGGGTCTCAGAACACCACCCAGACATCTGTGGTAAAGCCAAAGACTTTAGGTCATCTGTAGCAATTTGAAACTCGGATATCAGCACAAAAGGATTATGTAGCAGGCCATGGACCAACAGGGGCTGAAAGAAATCCCACCACCTGAGGATCGCATGCTTCTTCACAAGACCTACTGATATTTAACTATGTTGATCGGCCTGGCTCCTGCAGCAAGATATGGAAAGACTTTGTGATGATGAAATCAGACTACGTAGAAACCCCTTTGTTCTCTCCCCCCTATGTAATCCTTGTTACAAGAATATTAAACAATTGTGTGACTGTAGCAGAAAATTGTGTAATCCTCTAGTTAGCATAATCCATCCCCAACTTAGCATAATCCATCCTCCTCATTAACATGTCCTGCCCCCGAGACCCTTAAATTGTGAGATGCGTGTTCAATAAAGATTCCAGTTTTCACCCCCAAACCTGGGATCAATTAGTTATTGACCTCCTACAGTCATCAGGTTTGTACAAATTTGCCAGAGTCGTCAAAGGCCAAAAAATATTTAAATCGAAGCAATGAACTGTGTAACTACCTTCTTTTTCAAGACAAACTGTGGTAAAGAGCACTGTGGGGCACCAACCCCCCACCTAAGTTCTACACTAATTTTACATGTATGGTATGTGTGACCTATTTCAAGTGGCTAATGTCACCATGAGTTAGTCTCAGACATGAGTCTCACAGACATCTGTGAGACCCCATTTTCTTCATCATTGATCTTTGTTCTAGCAGTTTCTTCACTGGACCTTGCTTTAATATGTTACTATGGATAGGAGGCATTTGTTCCTGTAGTTCCTGCTACATCTTACTGCATGAAACAGCAGAACTCCCTACTCCTTGGGAAGTCTTCACGGCCTTCTAATTGTGCAGCAATGCTGCAACCTCTGCAATAGCACTGGTCCAAGTGTGCCCTGTAATCAGCAGTCAGTGTGATAGCACATCCCTTCCAGAGTGCAGAGCATTATACCAGGAGACGTGGAAACCACACACCAGTAGTTGTAATCAGTGGGACAGCCACGTAGCATGGGACTGAGGCATGGCCAAGCTTCTCTGTTGAGTTAGTGTGTTTAGTTGTTGGATGAATGTGAGAAGCATTTGTTCACTTTGAAGTCCATCTCAGTTCACTGGTCCCCTCACCTCCATTGGAAAGAACCCATTTCAACAAGGTGTCTACATACAGCACCTGGTTGAAGACAAAAACACCAAGGAGATGAAAAGGGGCCAAGCAGTGTAGGTAATGCATAGCAGCGGCAGTTACAGATGGGAACTTTTCTGTACCGCTGTGAACACGTTTTTGAGGGCAGAGGCATGGACAGGCATTACGGAAAGAACTCGTGAGGTAATTAGTGTTGTACCATCTGCAGGGACTATTCTGCAGGAAGCACTAGAAAGGAAGCAAACTTCAGGGACCCAATGCAAAAGGGAGAAAAGGAGAAGACCAGGAGGGGCAGGGAGCACAGAACAGCCTTGAGCGTACTCCAAAGGAAGTTGATGAATAACTATTTATTATATTTCCCCCATTCTTCAATTAATGATGTAATTAAGTGCTCCCGTCTAGTGATCCAGCCTTTATTTTCAAGTTTCTGTAATAAGTAGGTTTTTGGGTTTTTTTCTGCTAGCCTTCCAGTTGAGACTTGAATGTGAAAACTTCCTGCTTACCAAAATGTTGCGTACAATGTTATGCACTTGCCTGGAAAAAACCAAGTGCAAAGAAACCCTTGGCTTAAGCTGAAGTTGCCCTTCACTAGAGTTCATCTCAAGCACAAACAGCAAAGCAGCCAAGAGATAAGTATAAGCCTCAGCCATCACTTCCCCTCCCATGTACACCGATGGCATTCAGCACTAAACTGTACCATACCCGTTCTCTGCTGTTGGTTCTTCATTTTTGCTATGATTCTATGATTCATGGCTTGTCTTGATAGCTTAGGTGGTGCAGTCTTTTTGGAATAAGCAAGAAGATCAGTAACAAAAGCTAACTTTTTTTTAGGAAAAGATTATTCAGTACTGTTCAGGCAAATATGAGATCAATTTAGTTTGAAGATATCTTCAGGGGTCTAAGTTTAGCACAGGAGTCATTTGTGGGTTGCCTGAAGGTGTTCAGTGTGTAGCCCCCGGAATGTCTTCCACTTGCTTTAGAAATGCTGTTGACAGATAAGCAATTGTGGAAAAAATGGGTTTCTTCCTTTGCACCTAGCCCTTCTGTTGTTATGTTCCCTTGGAAATTTTAAAGTCTCTGTCTGGATTGCAGTCTCTCGTGTTGCCTGTCATGTCCTTGCCTTATTTTGCCCTGTCTGCTGTAAAAGAAACACCAGGAATCTTGTCAGTTTTTTTCAGCAGCTACTGTTGAACTTGAAAGAGGATCTGCTGGATCTTCAAAAAATCTTCACGTGGACCAGGATCCCCTTTCCAGAGTAATGGAGGAGCACCGTGATTCTTCAACCAAAAATTACCGGATTTGAATGAAATGCTATAGAGAGGCTCTGGAAATCATTCAGTGTTCACAGTGAGTCTATGGTTTCCCATCCCCTGCTTCAGATGTGAAAACATGTTCCTTGCAGTCGGAATGTAAACTCATAAACTCTATTAAATGGATGTGTCCTAGTTAGAACAGCTGGGACCAGTTCATCACTGCATGGGTATAACCCAAAACTGTGTATTCTATAGCCTTCCATGCCATTTCCCAGAAACTGTTATCAATAGACTATTTACACCCTCTGCCCAGAACAGCCTG